AAAAAGAAGAAGAAGAAGATAGCAGGAGGGGAAGAATGAAGGGGAGGAAATCAGAGGGGGAGACAAACCATGAGAGACTATGAACTCTGAGAAACAAACTGAGGGTTCTAGAGGGTAGGGGGGTGGGGAGATGGGTTAGCCTGGTGATGGGTATTAAAGAGGGCATGTATTGAATGGAGCACTCGGTGTTATACGCAAACAATGAATCACGGAACACTACATCTAATAAATAAATAAATAGGGGGAAAACAACAACAACCCCCCCCACAAAAAAAACCTAATGGAGTAACAGAGAGTATATAAACAAAGGAGGTATAGGAGGAGAGGGTAAAGCTTATTTCTTTTTTTAAACCCTTCCAGCTCCTCTTCAGCTCAGAGAACAAAGAGATTATGTCAGACCAGCAGCAATCTTGTGTTAATAATGCTCAGCCATCTCTCTGTTGACACTATCATCTAAGTGTCTTCTGGGACCCTTGAGTTACCTAGATTAGCAAAATAAAAGACCTCCTGTTCCCAAAGATTTCCCAGGCTTTGAATCTTTCCTAGTCCCCTTATTCTTAAAATGTACCAGAACATCCAATATAATAGGGTACTACGCACCTGTAATAAGGAATAAAGAAAATCTCTATATACAACAGTGGAGTGATTGCTAGGATATATTGTTGAGAGAAAGAAATCAAGACAGGGGTGCCTGGCTGGCTCAGTTGGTAGAGCCTGCAACTCTTGATCCTGAGGGTGTGAGTTCAAGCCCCATATTAGGTGTGGAGCCTTCTGAAAGAAAGAAAGAAAGAAAGAAAGAAAGAAAGAAAGAAAGAAAGAAAGAAAGAGAAAGAAAGATAGGTCAAGGTAGGTCAAGGTAGAGAAAAGTATGTAGAGCATGCTACCATTTATCTAAGAAAGGAGGATAACAGATATATATAGATAATGTTTATATTAAAAACAAAAACAGATAATCCATAGCCCTTGATTCCATTCCTGCCGCCCGTCTGACCTGCTCACACCCAGAAAGCTGGTAGCTCCGTTGTGGCATTTATGCCCTTTTTGGCAGTGACGACTGTCTCTCTGATCAGTGTCTGAGTGCTATGAAGATCACACACAGAGGTCCAGATTCATTTCATCTTCAGGATGGCAACAGATACATGAACTGCTGCTTTGGATTTCACTGGTTGGCAGTGGTTGACCAGCTGTTTGTAATGCAGCCAATTTGAGCAAAGAAACATCCTTACTTGTGGCTCTGTTACAATGGTGAAATCTACAACCACAAGGAGAAGAAACACATCTCCTTTTGAATTTAATTATCCTTTAATTCTCCTTTTGAATTTATTTATTTATTTTTTAAGTTTTGTGGGGGGTTTTATGATTTTATTTATTTATTTGACAGAGAGAGACAGAGTGAGAGAAGGAAAAAGGCAGGGGGAGTGGGAGAGGGAGAAGCAGGCTTCCCACTGAGCAGGGAGCCTGATGTGGGGCTTGATCCCAGGATCCTGGGATCATGACCTGAGCTGAAGGTAGACACCCAATGACTGAGCCACCCGGGCGTCCCTGAATTTATTTTGAATTTAATCACTAGACCAAAATTAATGGTGAGATCATCCTCCATTGTTATGACAAAGGAGGAACTGAGCAAATAATTTGTATGTTGGATGGGGAGCTTGCATTTATTTTATGGGATACCACCAATAAGAAAGCGTTCCTGGGCACAGACACCTATGGAGTCAGACCTTTGTTTAAAGCCATGCTAGAAGATGGATTTTGGGCTCTGTGTTTAGAAGCTAAAGGTCTTGTTAACCTGAAGCACATCACAACTCCTTTATCAAAATGGAGCCTTAAAAAAAAAAAAAAAAAGTGGACCCTTTTCTTCTGGGACACTATCAAATTTTGGATTTAAAGTCAAGTGACAAAGTTGCGTTCGTGGAAATGGTTAAATATCCTCACTGTAGAGACAAACACCTGCATGCTGTCTCTAACAGTGTGGAGAAACTACTCCCAGGTACTGATGTGGAAACTGTGGAGAGAAGGTGAGGAGAACCGGAGACAGCAAGTATAGACAACTCTTTCAAGGACCTTTGCTATAAAGGAGAAGGAGAGATGGAAGATGAGAGAGTATGGTGTGTGTGGATGTGCAAATGCTATCAATGATCCAATAGAGAGGACAAACTGATAATGCAAGAGACAGTTTCCTTAAAACGGAAACTCAAGGCAAACCTGTTGTGATTCCATGGTGGTAAAGTAATGTTGGCCTGGGGAAGCAGATTTATTCATGTTCTTTTTTCCTCTTCATATACATGCCTACTTTTGGATCCTTTTTTTTTTTTTTTCCAGATCCTTTTTGACAATGCTATTAAGAAACATTACGTGACAGACAGAAGGACTGGATGCCTTTTATCAGGGGGCTTGGATTCCAGCTTGGCTGCTTTCACCCTGTTGAAGCAGCTAAAAGAGGCTCTGGTACAGGATGCTCTCCAGACATGTGCAATTGGCATGGAAGAGAGTCCCCATTTCCTGGCTGCTGGAAAGGTAGCAAATGAACATCATGAAGTCCTTTTTGACTCTGAGGAAGGCATTCAGATACTGAATAAAGTCACATTTTCCTTGGAAACTTAGGACCTTACAACAGTTCACACTTCAGGAGATAGGTATTTAATTTCCAAGTACATCTGGAAGAACACAGATAGCATGGTGATCTTCTCTGGAGAAGGTTGAGATGTACTTCTACAGAGTTACTTATCTTTCCACGAAAACAACTTCTTCTAAAACGGCCAATGAGAGTGAGAAACTTCTGAAGGAACTCTGTTTGTTTGATGTTGTTCTCCACACAGATCAAACTACTGCTACCCATGGACTTGAACTGAGAGTCCCATTCCTGGATCTTTGATTTTCTTCCTATTACTTGTCTCTGCTACCAGCAATGAAAATTCCAAAGAATGGGATAGAAAAACATATCCCAGGAGAGAATATTCAAAGACTCTAATCTGATCCTTAAAGAGATTCTCTGGTGACCAACAGAAGCCTTCAGGGATGGGATAACCTTAGTTAATAATTGCTGGTTTAAGATTTTACAGGAAAAGGGGCACCTGGCTGGCTCAGTCGGCGGAGCGTGTAACTTTTAATCTTGGGGTTGTGAGTTCAAGCCCCATGTTGGGTTTATTTTACTTAAAAATAAAATATTTTTGGGCGCCTGGGTGGCTCAGATGGTTAAGCGTCTGCCTTCGGCTCAGGTCATGATCCCAGAGTCCTAGGATCGAGTCCCGCATCGGGCTCCCTGCTCAGCAGGGAGTCTGCTTCTCCCTCTCCCTCTGCCTCTCTGCCTGCTTGTGCTCTCTCTGTCTCTCTCACAAATGAATAAATAAAATCTTTAAAAAAATAAAATAAAATATTTTTTAAAAAAGATTTTATAGGAACATATGGACAGCAGGTTGATGATGCTATTATGGTGACTGCAAGAAAAAAATTCCCCTCGGTACTCCTCAAACTTACAAAGGCGATTACTACCATTAGTCTTTGAATGCCGCGACCCAGGCCAGACTGACCAGCTGACCAGTTACTGGATGCCCAAGCAGATCAGTGCCCCCAACCCTCCTGCCTGCACTCTGACCCATTACAAGCTACCAAAGCTGAGACATTCCCTAACGTATAGACGGAAAGTAAATGTTCCTTCTCGTGAAGGCCAGTGGGACTAGAGGCAGGTGGGGCCATCCACCCAGGTGTACTTGAGTATGAAAAAGAAGTTTCAAATCTAAAAAAACAAAGGGAAAATAAATCATAAAATTAAAAAGAAATTGTTACCAATGGGGTGGGAGGAGGAACAGGATAGAGGGAGATAAAAGCCAGACATGTTTTGTATACCTGACTTTGAAACCATGTAAATATTTTACATAGATCTAAACCAAGATTAAATTTTAGCAACCTCCAAGTATCTAAAGGAAAATGAAGCAAATGAAATCACTAAGAATCCTTAGTGACCTCCTAACTACTAAACCCGATGCCTTGCTTGAGGGTACGTTCAACTTATCCTGTCTGTATAATTTTACATTGTTGATCATTGACTCATTATTAAAATTCTCTTCCTCCTTGGCTTTTCTGAGACCACCCTTTCCTGGTTTACCTCATAAATCTCTGATTTCACTTCTTAGTGTCCTTCGCTAGGTCCTCTTCTACCTGTGCTTTCAATATAAATAGTTCCCATTCTTTTTTTTCTTTTTTAAGATTTTATTTTTAAGTAATCTCTATACCCAACATGGGGCTCAAACTCACAACCCTGAGATCAAGAGTTGCATACTCCATCAACTGAACCTGCCAGGTGCCCCCCCCTTTTAAGTAGGCTCCATGCCCAACGTGGGGCTTGAACTCACAATCCTGAGATCAAGAGGCACATGCGCTTGGGGCACTTGGGTGGCTCAGTCAGTTGGGTACCTGACTCTTGGTTTCAGCTGAGGTCATATTCTTGGGGTCGTGAGATCCAATCCCGCGTCGAGCCCCCAGTCAAGCTCCACACTGGTCCCTCTCCCTCTGCACCCCCCTCCCACTTACGCTCTCTCTCAAACAAATAAATGAAATCTTAAAAAAAACAAAAAAACAAAAAAACCACATGCTCTAGGTAGTTCTCATTTTCTTTTGTTTTATTTTTTTTAAGTACTCTCTATACCCAACATGGGGCTCAAACTCACAACCCTGAGATCAAGAGTTGCATACTCCATCGACTGAGCCAGCCAGGCACCCCTAGGCAGTTCCATTCTTAATTTACTTTTTTTAATCTGATCACTCCCAGCAGTAAAACCATATACTCCCCTGACTTCCATTAGACATATTTACATTAATATATGATTATAAGAAAATTAAGATCAATACGGGTTGCTGTACTATAGGGAAATATTGCCATGGGAAAGGAAAAATGAACCAATTTCAAGGGAACTGCTCTAAAAGAGTTTTTTGAATATGTTATTTTGCATATCTACTAAATTACTGTCTGTTGTTCAAAACCTACCTCAGCTGTTATCTACTCTATAAAACCTTATCAGATTTCTCTGGCCACAATTAATTTTTACTTCCTCTTCACTCTGATAAGATCTCCCTTATGACATGTATTACCTAGTGACATATATTACCAAAATGCCAAGACAGAAATGGGTAGAAAAAAATTAAACATGAGAGGCCACAGGGTCTACATAATATCAGCATTTGTGAATAAGGAAGCAGATAGAAGCAAGATGAACATGAGGAAATGAAAATGGCAAAAATCATTAATAGGACAGAATAAAGGCTCACACTGACATAAAAACATAGGGAATAGAAGCCATTTGACCAGTACAGGGACATGGGGACAAAGGCAAAAGACCCAGACAAAAAGTGAAGCCAATCTTTCAGGGATCTGCACCTTCAGGGCTGCTTTCTCTCCCACCCTGTTGGTGCTGGGAGTGGGAGCTGGGCACCCATCAGAGACCCAGGTGGGGCTTGAGCACCTCCACAGGCCTCCTGCCTCAGGTCTTCCTCTGGGCTGTCACTCTTTCTCTCTCTTTTTAAAATATATTTTTATGTATTTATTTGAGAAAGAGCACAAGATCAGGGTGAGGAGCAGAGGGAGAAGCAGACTCCCCGCTGAGCAGGGAGCCTGATGTGGGACTCGATCCCGGGACTCCAGGATCATGACCCGATGGGCTCTCACTCTCTCTCTTAATCTTCACCAAAGCTGCCTCTGCCATTAAGGGTTGTTCTGTGGTCCACTCTGGAATTGCAAACCCCCTCACCTATTTGGCTTCTCTGTGAGCCTGTACACCCAGCAGTCACATTGCTCCTGTGGCCACATGTCTGGTGCCACCTTTCCTGTAGCTGCCTCCTGCCTTGCTTCCTTTTGAGGCTTAGAGCACACCCACTCCCTTTCCTTTTGGGACCCACCACCAACTTTCTGTTTTCTGCCCCGGACATATTTCCATCTCTCAGCTCTGCCTCAGAGTCCCTTAAACAGACTCGGGTGTGTGCTTTTTTCTTTTCTTTCTTTTTTTTTTTTTTAATTTTTTTTTAGGATTTTATTTATTTACTTGACAGAGAGAGACACAGCGAGAGAGGGAACACAAGCAGGGGGGGTGGGAGAGGGAGAAGCAGGCTTCCCGCCGAGCGGGGAGCCCGATGCGGGGCTCGATCCCAGGACCCTGGGATCATGACCTGAGCCGAAGGCAGACGCTTAACGACTGAGCCACCCAGGCGCCCCGGGTGTGTGATTTTCAAAATGCTTTTAAAAAGCCATTCTTTTATGAAGGGGGGGGAATCGGAGGGGGAGACGAACCATGAGAGACGATGGACTCTGAAAAACAAACTGAGGGTTCTAGAGGGGAGGGGGTGGGGGGAAGGGCTAGCGTGGTGATGGGTATTAAAGAGGGCACGTTCTGCGTGGAGCACTGGGTGTTATACGCAAACAATGAATCAGGGAACACTGCATCCAAAACTAATGATGTGATGTATGGGGATTAACATAACAATAAAAAATTTTTTTAAAAACCCATTCTTTTATCGGAGGGGAGGGGGTGGGGGGTGGGTGGGTGAAACAGGTGATGGGAATTAAGGCGTGCACTTAACGAGATGAGCACAGGGTGATGTATGGAAGTGTTGAATCACTATATTGTACACCTGAAATATAACACTGTATGCTAATTAACTGGAATTTAATTAAAAACTAAAACAAAAAAAAGCCATACTTAGGTGGAAGTCACACCCTCCATCTGCCCTCTGGTTTTCCCCACCCCTTCCCCATCCCTCTGTCAGTTCTCCGCTCCTACCTCCTACCTCCTACCTCCTACCTCCTACCCAGGGTAGGGACTTAAAGAGGCCACAATGTGGCCTGGAAAGAGCACCCCCTTTTCCCCTACCTCCCCATCGTACACCACACACTGGTTGTGGGGAGGGGCTGAGCAAGGGGCTACAGTGCTGCTCTGGAAGACCTTGAGGACCCCATTCCCAAGGCTCTGCCCCTAAAGGGGATCCCCTCAGGCCGGTGGGCTCCACGTGTGCTGGCGGGAGAACTGGTTCCTGCCCACCGGTGCTAGGCTGAGGCAGAGCTGCTCACCCCCTGGCCAGCCCTTGCCTGCTCCTTTCAAGCTGCCTTTGCTTTCTGCCTTAGGCCCTCCTCCCTCTTCTGGTTTTGGGGGAAGTTTATGGGGTGCCAGCCCCTGGCTCTTCTTTCTTGCTCCCCCAAAGACCAGCCTAGTGGGCCCTTCCCTGTTAACCTTGGAACGCAGAGTTCACAAAGCAGTAAGGAATTCAGGTCTTATTCACAGGGTCTTGTCTGATTTACCTTCTTCTATTAAGGATTCAAAAGATAAGTAGGGGCTTGGGAAGGTCATGGTGCCTCTCCTAAGTAGTTCAGGAGCACTGTCAGCTCCTGTCACCCCAGGGGGCTTGCTTGGGGGCCCTCTCCCCTTTTTGCCTTCCAACTTCCAGCTGAATGTGAAAGCCCTCTTTCCGACAGGACAGTGTTGAAAGTGCCTTTAGAGTGAGCATTACAGGGCGACTGGGTGGCTCAGTTGGTTAAGTGTCTGCCCTCTGCTCGGGTTATGATCCCAGGGTCCTGGGATCGGGCTGCATCAGGCTTCCTGCTCGTTGGGGAGTCTGCTTCTCCCTCTGCTCCTTCCCCCTGCTTGTACTCTCTCTCTCTCTCTCAAATAAATAAATAGATCTTAAGGGAAAAAAAAAAGTGGGCATCACAGGTATGGCCAGGGACATCCAGTTGGGATAAGCAGCCTAGGTCCTAGGCCTCCGCAGCACCCGGCCCCTGAGGGCAGAGGCTCCCTGACCCAGACTGGATCAGGCCCATCTTCATCTCTGCTTCTCCTCCCTTGCCAGCCCCCCCACTTCCTCTGTGCCCCTTGGTCCCAATGCACATTAAAGCCACTTAAAGCAGGCAGCACAGTGCCTGGTATAGTGCAAGTCCTCAATAAACATTTGCTGGGGGCGCCTGGGTGGCTCAGTCGTTAAGCATCTGCCTTCAGCTCTGGTCGTCATCCCAGGGTCCTGGGATGGAGCCCCGCATTGGGCCCCCTGCTCCGCGGGAGGCCTGCTTCTCCCTCTCCCACTCCCCCTGCTTGTGCTCCCTCTCTGGCTATATCTCTCTCTGTCAAATAAATAAATAAAATCTTTAAAAAAAAAAATTTGCTGAACAAATGAAAGGATGAAAAAAAAAGTGGAGCCAAGAGATCTCAGAAAGTTCAAGGCAATATTTCTGAACACTTCATAAAACAAAAGAAAAGAGAGCTTTGACCAAGCAGTTAGAAAAATTATCCTTATTTTTCTCAGCTGAAAGTTCAGGCAAATTGGGGCAACCTGGCTGGCTCAGTCAGTGGAACATACAACTCGATCTCGGGGTTGTGAGTTCAAGACCCACATTGGGTGAAGAGCTTACATTTAAAAACAAAAAAGGTAAAATAAAGTTCAAGCAAACTAATTTCCCATAAATATGAGCAATAAAAAGGAAGGCAGTCAAATCTCCAAGTTATTATGAGGAAAAAGATCTTAGGATAACATCAATAACATCACTAAATCACACAATAAAAACAAAGTTTAAAACATGCCCACAAAACAGCTGAAAATCACAGCTTAATAATTCAAAATGAGCTAAAGCAAATCAATGAAATGATAGAAGTTTTGAGAAAACATAAGTAAAAACCATAAAAGTGAAAAATGAGATAGAATT